TCAAGTCTTCAAAATCATTTTCATATTATTTCATATTTAAGGTTCATTGATACTCTGATAAGAGAGATAACTCTTAATGGCATCACAGGATGAAAAGCCAGGTTTCCCAAATTGGGAAACCCGATGGAAACATATGGGAATCGTGACATCAGTAGTTTCCATATAGTTTCCATTTTATGGAAACCACATAGTGGTTTCCACATAGATTCCCGACATGGAAACAATCAACCTGTGGTTTCCCGTAAGTTTCCCAAGATAGGAAACCATGGAAACATGCCCCGGTGGTTTCCATGTAGATTCCCGACATGGAAACAACCAATCTGTGGTTTCCCGTAAGTTTCTCAGGACAGGAAACCATGGAAACATGCCTCAGTGGTTTCCATGTAGATTCCCGACATAGAAGCCACCAACGTGTAGTTTCCCCCATGTTTCCCACGTAGAGAAACTTTGAAAGTATATATCTCAATACTAACCCACCTACTTTTTATTTTACAAGAAGTTAAATATTTTCTTATGTTATCTTATGCTTACCAATTATAGAAATATTTCAAAAGTGTTTACGTGCTGTATCAAAATAATTAACTTCCCTTCAAACAGTTAAAATATCTGTGTGATAAAATTTTATATTTCAGCACTGTGAACGCAATTCAATTTAAAAAATTTATCACATAAGTTTTGGTAAACTCGTATAGAATGCGTGAAATGAAATTGAGAAAAGTAAGTGCAGTTATGTAGATATCAATCATTTCCGATCCCACTTTCTTGTAAGCTGTCTATAATGAATGTTCCTTTGAAAAAATGCAAGAGCGAAGGAAGGGCACGTTTAATGAAATTATTTACAGAAAAGGTAAAAAGATCGATAAAAAAGTAAATAAAGAAATATGTCAAGTTGCGATTATATAAAATGAAGTGATTAAGGACAGATGAGAAGTTCCTCAATAATATGATTATAATTTTTTCCAATATTTTGACATTGAAGAATAACATGTATTTACAAAAAATCAAGGTACCTTACAAGGCATTTCGCGTGAGATACCAGAGGTTGGTATCTCTTATATACCGGGGTAATCCTTCAGGAAAAAATACTTCAGTTGGTTTGTCACAATTACATTTTTAGTGTTTCAAATTTTTAAAAACCAGTTTAGAAAGTAATAAAGATTTTGTATAAAAATTTATTATACATTAATATGAAGATTTACAAAACAGATACTTAATGGGAAACGTATCGTCTGACTTTAAAAAAAACCAAAATATAGAAGAGTAAGTATGGTTACAAAGAGATCACTGTAAACTGGTCAGATAAAATCCATCGAATTGGTTGGGGGCTGAGTATTATCATACTAGTATTTTACTTTAGTAAGATTGTTTCTTTTATTTATTAAATTATTATTATTATTGGGGGTGGGTGGATTGCTTTTCATTTTTTCCATGAGAACCCCCCCCCCCCCCCAAAAAAAATAAAACCACACTTGAAAGTCACTATAGTCGGCCTGTGTAATAACTACGGGCACCTGTCCTCACGTGCCATATCAGGTGGAGACACGTGCCGCGAAGACACCTGTCACTGTGTATTTTTTGTATATTCTATGTGAATTGAGACGGTTTTCTACCTAAAGGGAACAATGGGTTGTTTTCCAGCATGTACACACACAGCCTCCGACCGAAAATTCGTTTGAATTAAGATGACGATTTGTGGGGTTTTTTTATCATTTAAAAAATTGTATATTTCATGAATAAAGTTTTACTAGAGAACATATTTATAAAATATCATACATTTATTTTAAGATGTTCAATGAAAGAACAAACTATTTAGAATTTTTATTTCAATTTTCATTACTGATTTAAAATAAAGCTATCCTCTTCAGAAATTAAATAATTTTCTATAGGTATTGATTAGACCTAAATTCTCGTCGTGTATTATTATATTAAATCAGAATGACTTAATAGATCAATGTGAAATAAACACCGTATTTAATAGTCTTCAAGTTGATGAGTTTTTGTGTGAAATTTGTAATTCAACGTACTATACAAAGACATTTATTAAAATGTTATAATATTCATTACATAAAACTTTTTTTCCCGTTTTTGTTTAAATATGTACGCAGATCACCGTGTAGTAAACGTGTGCACTTTTCGCATAAAATTACAATGTAGGGTCCTAAAAGCACATATGCTCGTATATTTAACAAACTTTAAAAATTTCAGCCATTCTTTTCTCCAGAGACCATTTCTCTAGATAAAGAAAAGTCTATAATATTTTGCATCATTTTGTTTTCCTGAAAAACAACGGCTTTTAAAGTAGTGGATGCTACGGCAATCTATTAAAAGAATTAATTGTATAATTGTCACGATTGTATATTTTTGTGCAGTTTTTGTTGATTTCATTCTATAAAGGTATGAAGTTTGTCAATACTTCAACAAACATTTCTTTATCTAAATTGCACATTACTTTATTTTTATTCGTCAACATGCTACTCTTTTTAAAAAAGATGCGTGACATTCTTAAATTTGACTAATAGACTCGAACTTCAGGCCTGTAGGAAAGTAATTTCCGTTAGGGTAATAAACTTACCGGGATTTTTTTTTTACTTGCATACCTTACCAGATTTCTTGACGAAAAAAAAAACATTAAAAGAAATACAGGGCGGGACCAGCTAAAGCTGTATGCATAAGTACAGCCCTGCACATCAACGAGTATCTAGATGACTTTTAACAAAAGTTTCAAGTACAATTTACAAGTAGCAAATAGAGAAAAGTCTTACTAGCAGGTCCACTAACTATTAGTAATAATACAGTGTATTGATAGCAGGCTCAAAATCTACTTAAAACCAGAAAAGGAGGGAGTTCTATTAGTATTTTAATCCAAAAAAATTATAAGCAATTAATTATTAAACACCGAACTTTTCAATCATCACTATTGAAATTAAAAAAAAAATAGGGACGGTTATTGTTAATTATAAATACATGTATTATAATTGTAACTCATTTTCATGCCTTTAAGGATTCCTGTGGAAAGTTTGCAATTAAACAAAATGTACTTTTAAAAGTTTAACATTTTTTGGTGTGACATTATAAATTCATATTTATAACAGTTAAAAGTAGCGGGGAGGATGGGGGTTAATTTCAGCTAGGACGGCCACTACCAACAACCAAGCCCAAAACCCCTCATCCGTAAGGCAAATAATTTGAGGTGTCACGCAAGAAACATAATTTTTCTCTGCTCTCGCGTATTTAACCGCTTTTTATCTAAATATACTAAGCCTACACATCATATCGGCAAAAATATTTTAATAGGAGCCCCTCTTTTTATTCCATGAACAGGGGAAAACTTCTAAATTCTAATATAAGATCTCATAATCACACATAATCATCTATACAGTTTATTTTCCCATCCTGCATCGCTCTGTAGGCTCTTTATTTCATTGGTCAATTTCCCGAGGCGCCATTTTTGGAGGATCGAGAAGCACGAAGAAGAAGGTGTAAGCAGCTCGTAAATGTGAAAAGTTAATGATGTTTTCACCACCCAGTGTCTTTAAAACTGTGATAAATGCAATGACCAACGACCAAGGATTAATGTACGTATATTTATTTTAACTTTTTACGGCAAATAATTGTAATATTTGGCAACAACAAATCTTCACTATCGTAGGCAACTTTTGTTCTGACGCCATTTTAAAAAGTTGGATGTATAAGTTTTAAATTGTTAAGTGCATATATTGCAAGAGAGAGAGAGAGAGAGAGAGAGAGAGAGAGAGAGAGAGAGAGAGAAAGAGAGAGAGATACAACATAGATTATGGAGGCCCCAGGGCACCGTGCATGTGTGATGTAAAATGGCAACGTTTCGCCTTTCGTCATGTTTAATAAAATGTATGCTCAATATGTATGTTCTCTCTCTAAATATAAATGAATACTTTTCGGATGATAATAGTCATACCGAGCATGGTTTCGTAGATAAATTCAGACTGTAGTACATCCGGTTTGAATACATGTGTTGTTTTCTGACTTTTCGGATAGCCAACTCTTTTGATTTTTGGAACTTATGACTTATGGCAAGGTATGAATGAAATATTTTTAGTTCAAAACCTTGATAAAAGCATCAATATTTTTACAAAAAGTGTCTTCAATCTCAGCTTATCCGATTATCATGAAGGATATCATCATCAGAACAGTTGGAATAGATTGTAGCCAATACTGTAGCATAACCCTTAATCATATGCATGATGATGATATGGAGGGAAAATATACATAAAAAAGTGAATGTAGGTGAAGGCCTGTCCACTTCTCTGAAGAGAATAGGTTTGTTTATTGAAATAGTTTACTGCTCAAAAGATTTTTTTTTGTAATGTCTAACCTGCTGAGATGAAGATGTAAAAAAAGAAAATTAAGCCTTCGTAGTGAATTAATATTGATAGATCTAGTATGTTTTTAAATGCTTATTACAAACTTGGTAATAAAATACAGAACACTTTAAAGCTGAATACGATTCTTAAAAGGAATCTGTCCACCATTTTTGTTCCCGAATCTAGTTTCTCTGCAGACTGCTATAAATAGGGCAGCAGTTGGTCACTGTTCAGTGTAATCAGTCTACACCGGTAAAGACGGACGTATGCTATACAGAAATCCGTAGCGAGAATAATAACGTAATATTTCATCTAATGTAGGAAAATAAGATACCAAATAAGTTTACAATTATAGTTTTATAAGTCAGTGCAATATACAAAAAACACAGATAAACGTAACTGCAATAAAATGTAAAAAAAGGTAATTCAAGATAACCAGCACAAACACGGGTCGCTATTCCATGCCGATACTCGTGACAATAAAGCAGTCAGATGTAACGAATGCAACAAGTATACCCTAGTATTGATGTATCGTAGATAATGCTATCGAAAATGGCGTATGCCTATTTTATGAGTTGTGTTCAGCTTTAAGTTGAGAAGAAAATAAGTATATAATCAAGCACAATTAAACTACTTACATACATGTACATGTACATGGTATTGTTTAACTGAACAGACTTAGCTGTCATAAGGTCAAAATTGCAAAAAATAACATGCTTCAAAGTTCTTATATCTGTATATAATTATAAGTTTATAACATACGCCACATTCTACATAACTGGTGCAGGCAAACAATGAGTCGAGCACAATATCATATTCTGCTGGTGAGCTATTTCTGTCTGTTGTCAACTTGAACCATTGCCATGACTTTTGAACGGTGAGAGATAGAGACTTCATATTTGGTATGCATACTACGATAATTAAGTTCTTTGAAATGCAACAAGGTCAATGACCTTGTGACTTTGACTGTAACTATATGTTAAAATAGCTTTTTCGAACTTTTGCCATAACTGTTTATCTGTGTCTGTCTGTTGTCAACTTAAACCTTCACAATAACTTTAGAACTATATGAGATAGTGAAATCATATTTAGTATGCATACTCCACTTATGAAGTGCTTTCACATGACAACAAGGACAATGATTATGTGATCTTGACTGTGACCTATATGCTAAAAAAATTGCTTTTTCGAACTTTGTTCAGCCAGGCACATAGTGTTTTACAAGCGCATCTTGTTCTTATTTTTTCTCCCATCCCGGTTGTTGCTAATGCTATTACATAATTAGTTTAAATTAGAATGAAATAGTACCTGAACATAATTTATCATTTCAGAGAGAAGAAAACTGCATGACTTTAAAAAGAAAACCAGTGAGATAAAATCATATAAAATGTATGATGATTCAGGATGTGGTCATTTGGTAAGTGGTTTAAGAAATGAATGTAATATTTTTTCCTTTGATCGATGTATCAAAGAAAAATTTGGACGGAAAACTTCATCAATGCGCGTAGCGCATTGATGAAAAAGTTTTCCGTCCAAATTTTTCTTTGATACATCGATCAAAGGAAAAAATATTACATTCATTTCTTATCATTTAATTATGCTTTTAAATTAATAAAATGAATCTTTCTTTCACCTTTCTATTAAATTTACGCATCAAAAACAGTGCGCACGAATACATCACAACAACGTTAACGTTGCTGAAATTCAAACGAAGAAACGTTCTCAAATATTGTCGTGGCATTACCAACATTCTCTGAAATAATTTACAGTTCTTTAACACAAAAAAACTTACCTGTTGTGTTATCCCAATCGGTATATTTTCCCTGGTAATTTATCTAAGTTCGTAAATGCAAAGGGAAGCTACTCAAATATCCTAACAGTTCTAACGTTTGGTCACAGAAATTTTTGATTTCATTTGCACATCTTTTCATCTGAATTTCAAACCGAACATATAAATACGTATCACAACCTGTTAATGCTGTAAAACCTGAAAGATTCTGCTGCCGACTGTTTTAAGAATAAAAGAACCTGTCCTCATTCATGCAGTGTCGTTTTTCTCGATCATTCGTTCCCCACGTTTTAACAGATTAACGGTTTTTCCTCTCTTTGGTAACATAAAAAACGTTTCTTCAGAATTGTATTGTTCATACCAGACATCTCAAAGCCAAACATTTCACAAAAGTATGTCGATTTCTTTCCTTCTTTCCCAAAACTGTATTGTTGTTATGCAGATGATTTGATTTGTTTAGCAAAGGGGGATAATTCAAAAAGAAACGAAAGTAGAAAATAAGTCGGGGAAGTAACGGACAGGTTTCAAAATTCAGGAAAATATTTATTAAAGTAAAAGTATTTATTATTCCTCCAAGAAGTAACCTGTACTTGTAGAGACTGCCAACGTAGTTCCGGCTGCTTAGCATGCTTAGTGCAAGCGAACTCTAGATTTTATTGATGCAGGTATCAAAAGAATTTTTAAACCAATCAGAATCAAGTATTTTATAGAAATTAAATGATAATTAAATCATGATTGGTATGTATGACAATTGCCTGAAAAAAAAAAATTATTCTAAATTTTAAATACTGAGCTGTGGTTTATCAGCTGTGAGCTACAAGAAGTTTTATATGTGTGTATTGTCGTGATTGACATACAATCAGTTCTCTAATACATACACTTATACAGTAAAACTTTGTCATCTCAAACCTGAATTGAAGAGGAAAAAACTTTAAGATCTCTCAAAAAAATTGAATGAAAAAGAGGAAATGTTATTAACTGATTTCTTGCTGGTCAGTATTTTGATGACTTTAAGGAAGCTCTTAAAACTGCATACTAAAGAGTTCTACTTTAATATTGGGTAGTTTTATGCAGTGAGAGTGATCTGCCCTTAGATTGAGATTAAGAAAAATTTTGTTTTACAGTCAGTTGGATTATTTGTAATAGATTAAATTATTTTTAGCATTATCTAAAATCAAAAATAAAGAAATTAATTGATTATTTTCATAAATTTTCCAAATGCATTAAGTAAACAGCAATGATTTCTGCTCACAAATAGTCCATTGTCTTTGAACATTTCTTGGGGAAATGATGCACATACTATATGTTCTAAATGAATAAAAAAGGCTCATTATGCACATCTTTATATGATTGATTTTTTTTTCTCCAAAGATTAATTTCTGTAAGTCCGACACTAAGTTTTTAGAGTTTCCTCAATTTTTTAGATACATGTATTCAATGAAATTATTTGAAGTATTAAATTTTGGTAAATTTTATGATAGTAAAAAGTTATATGTTTGAAAATACTTAAAAAAAAAAAAACAGCATGCATGCATGACAATAGGGCTTAAATTTTTAATGTCTCTTAATTTTTCAGTGACATTAAAACAGGAATTGTCATCACCAATAGACAAATTTTACATTGCTAAGAGTTGTCTCCAATTGTAGGTGTATCCCTCATTTTTCTCAATTTGTCCTTTGTAAGTTACTTGTTAATATTTTCAATCTTCAAACGATATTGGACGATCAACTACGATCTGTATCTGTATGGCCAGAGTATGGGGCAACATGAAAATCATAATGAACATGTTCATACAGATTTCATTTCTAAGATATTGACCCTCAAAGTTGGTACGGTTATAGAGGGAAAACAGCGTCTTAAGCCGGTTGACCTCAGATTGACCCTGCAAAGGGGAATAACTTTTGTAAATGTGAAAGTTGTCTATGGTATATCATATAGATCTAAAACTGACTGAATTTTGATCTGCCAATTCATGAACATGATGAGTGGATGTAAATAATGTTGGTCAATTACTTGTTTATAAACCAAGTGTACATGCAATACTGGCATAAAATTACTCATAAGATACATGTATACTTACACCATGATAAAAGCACATGTGTCCGATGCAGCATATGATAAATCATTAACATACAAGTACATGTGTATCTATACTGTAATACATATATATTGCATTGTTTTTAGAGTCCTGTTCTGTGGATGCCCTTAGACAGTGTGTCTACCCATCACGCCATCTGATATCACTTGTTCTGAGCATATTTCTCTCTCAAACTTAAACTACAGAGAGCCTGTGGATAGAGGATGAAGAGTGACCTTGGACTACTTTTCTAGGTCAAAGGTCAGTATCAAAATGTACTGTATATCTTTATTCAAAGTCTTAGTCCAGAGTATATTTCTCCCTTGGTGTAATCTAGCTTTTATGCAATGGGGTGGAGGGTCTGCAATGATCTTCAAACAATGTTTTAGATCAAATATCAAAATTTAAAAAAAATTTCTCTCTAATATTTTTGTTATTATAAAGAGTATGTTTTCTCTCAAACTAATTCAACTTAAAGCAGGGTTCTATGAAATTGTAATATATTCTCAATGACATAATTAGGCTGAAAACATTATTTATATTATGTAATATTTTTTTCCTTATCATAACGCATTAAATTTTAAAGAGACACATTAAATGCTGAAATCATTTGTATCATGGTCATGGAAAGTAATTATTGATATTGGTATATTAAAGAACATTGACTGATCTTTCAGACTTCTAAGTTATATTCAAGCATTATAATTCTTACACATCATATGATAATTTTGTATGAATATTGCAGATCATAGGTGATGTGAAGAAAATACCAAGGAACTGATGTTGAAAGAAGTACTTAATGACACTTATGAATGGACTTCAACGTGAAAGACTGTTCCATTGTTTATCTAAGATATATGAATTTTGATATCATTGAAAAATACTGTTACAGTTTTTGTACATCAAATGAATTATTAAACATATAAAATGGTAATGCTTTTTTCTCTTACATGTAATAATTTTTTATATAGATTCACTGAAAAGAATATACATAATTTCACATCGCTTCCTTCAGAAAAGTTAGGAAATCTTGAAGTTTCCCAGTAATTTCAACCAGGAATGGGACTCAAGATAATTCCACCAAGTTTCCGCCACACAGAAACTGCTACACAAGTTCCATATCGTTTCCTGAGTCAGGAAACTTTAGGAATCGTTAGGTTTCACGAGCTTCCATGTAGTTTCCCGTAATAGGAAACCTTAAGATTCCATCAAGTTTCCATTCCACGGAAGCCACTACGCTCCGATTCCATGTGGTTTCCTGAGTCACGGAAACTTTAGGAATCGTGAGGTTTCCCGAGCTTCCATGTAGTTTCCCGTAAAAGGAAACCTAAAGATTCCACCAAGTTTCCATTCCACGGAAACCCCCTACGCTCCGATTCCATCAAGTTTCCTGATTCTGGAAACCAGTGGAATCTTGAGGTTTCCCATTACGGGAAACTACATGGATATTCGGGAAACTTCAGGTTTACAGAGGTTTCCGTGGTTCGGGATACCTTATGGAATCGGAGCGTAGGGGGTTTCCGTGTAACGGAAACTTGGCGGAATAACCTAGCATCCGCTACGGAAACCACTGGGAAACATGATGTAAACTTGAGGTTTCCATGTGGTTTCCATAAAGTTTCCCATGACGGGAAACCACTTTTTTCACCCAGTGCATACTAGTAGATGTCTATTATTCCTTTAAAAATTTGCCAAGTTGAAGTGTCTTTTTTGTCCAATTCTTCCCCGCAAACTATGCTATAATGTTAGTATTTTACTTATTTAATACATTTCTTTTGGAAAATCATTAAGGTTCAAGCAACAATTTTTTTGAATGAGGAGAGGGTTTATGAACCTTAAGTATAAAAAATCCTAATGTTTTTGATATTTATACTTACTTCAAGTCTCAGCATTTCCATGTAAATATTACATAAATTTCCTTGAGAATTTGACTTTGTATTTTCTTTTATTTTTATTTTTTAATATTCAGTGTCATAGCTTGTTTCCAATTAATTCATCTCTTCATATCATTATTATCTTCTCTTTTTTGTACTTTTTCTTGCATATTTGGTTTTTTTTTTTTTGCACTTTATTTACTTACTTTGTTTTGTTTTGTTTCTTTTTTTTCTTGCACTCTTTTATTTTCTTTTATTTATATTGTATAATGAGAATAGATACAAAGTAATTACTCTTGTGTAAAATATTTTTTTCATTTCTAATCAATAAAAGAAATTATGTATCTTATATCATTATTCATAATGTCCTTATTGTAAAATACTGTCAATTCTTAATATTTGTAGCCTTGACTTTGGAGAGGACGTAATAAGCCTTGTATAATCCAATTACTAAAACTGGCTTTACATAATAAAATACTGATTAGGCAGAAAGATGTTCTTTATTTTCTCTATAATATAGAATAACACACCTAGTGATATTTGTAATTTAATTGAACAGTCAGGTGATCGCTGCCCTGCAGGACCTGACATGCATTGCTCTTTGATTCCTTATGCTCATAAGATCACTATTCCTTTTCCTTGGTGTTAACTTTGCAATAGACAACAGTTGGATGGTTTTCATTAAATTTATTAAAGACTTGAAAAAACATACATGTACAAACTTGTGTTATTGATAACTGTGATGGACAAAAAGGAAGTTGGCATTAATAGGCCGCATTGCATAGATGTACAATAAAGAATAGGGTCCGGAAGGACAACTGGCATACCGACTAAAGAGTACCGGGCAAAACCAGTGGCCCTGTGTTGGTCACAGGTGCCTGGGATCCCAAATTTGGGTACTAGACATTTGGGCCCGGGAGAGTTGCGAGCATATCTGTATACCCTGTTTCCAGGGATTGCTTCTGGTCAGCAGTACTTTAACACCCAAGTACTCCAGTACTAAGCCTCCCCTCCTGTTACAAGAGGTGGAGGGGGCCCCAGGCCTGCAGGCTTGGCAAAGACCCCAATCGAAAAACTTCTTACTTGACTTTTTACTTTACTTTTGTTCAACATTGCCATAGGTTGGATACTTTGTAGACAACCTGTCTACCCAACAAAGTGCCCACCAACTTATCTGCTGGCTGGGCAGGGAAACAACGAGCCAGATATGTTCACAACCCTCCCCACTTATCCCCCCGGACCCGCCACAGACATCGATATGATGTTCCTCCATTACTTTATATTAGGGGATACTTTCCCCTTCCCTTGAATGAGGGACCACAAACCACTTTTGACATTATTTAAGAAGGTTCTATTACCCAGCTCGGAGAGATGCGTTCCATCAAATCTGAACATGTCCGTATTAGCAACACAAATGTTTCCATGAGAAATAACACCCCCACCCAATTCTGTGACAAATTTAGAAATATTTTTGTTGATTCTTTTGCGTTTTTTGTCAATCTTTTTTCCACTGTTCAATGGGGCTCCATGCCAATAACGGCGTGGTAGAATATGCGACCACACCAGTTTAGTATTTGGGAGAAGGGCATTATATCGCAGGAAGTGCACTGAATCTCTTGTATGAATTTTTTGCTAGTTAAGTTTGGAGTTACCAAGTCATTGGATCCTAAATGAATTACTAAGTAATTGGGGGGTACTTCTTGTTTGATGAGCTGTAGGATTTTTGGATCGAGTTCCTGCCAGTGCATTCCCCTGCGTGTTCTCCATGACAGTGTGGCAGGGAGGTTCAGGCTTTGTCCCCCTGGGCAGTGTTTGGCTGCTTCCCCTGCCCAGTAAGGGATGGAAGATCCTATGATCCATATTTTTTGACCTGCAATGCTTTGGGTCGGTTAGTTCTGGGTTAAAATTAACTATATACATGTTCAAGCACCCCTCCCCCCAAATGTCCTAAAATTTTTATTTATTTATTTATTTATTATATAGGTGTGGGCATGTTGTTGAATGAGTTACATGATCCTTATGTATTTAAGAAAAGCTACTGATTTCCATCTACCAAACTTCTGAATTTCAGAATCTGGTGTGCCCTGTAATGCCAGGTCTGTTGCCCTACCAATTCGAAAGCTATGCGTGCCAAAATGACCTGATGGTGTTGGTATAATGTTTTTAATGGCCTTTTGAAGGACGGCATTGAATTGGTATCTAGTTAATGGTTTTGTATCGAGATGAATTAGGAAGCTGTGACAGGGGTATGGGGCCTACATTCTATAAAATCCAAAATAGCTTTAACTGGGCACAAGGTAGCAAACGGTTGGCTATGGATAATGAATGTGGTATTCTTGCCAACCTGATCAGTTTTGGAGTGCGGTATTGTTAACCTTAAA